GAGCAGGGAGCCCGATGCGGGGCTCGATCCCAGGACCCTGGGATCACAACCTGAGCCGAAGGCAGACGCTTAACGACTGAGCCACCCAGGCGCCCCCAAAGGATTTTTGAAATATAATTAATAACATGGCATTTATCACTGTTCCTAGTACTTAGCATTACTGGTGATCGCCAATACTATCCTGTTTGGGTGATAGCAATCCCTCATTTCTCTGTATATTTTATATATGAACACAGTGGTGGTGTATTTGCCTTTCAAATATGCAGCCAAAGTCTATTGTTAACAAATCTGGGTCACCAAATGTTGATATTTACTATTGCCTCACAATGACAAGTTAAAATTGAAAGGAAGCAAGCAAGAAGTTATGAAGAAGTCCCATGGCTTGCCATTTATCATTTGTATTTTGAATTGAAATGTGCTTTACATGTCGTGGGGCTTCTCGAAATTTTTAGTCATTCCTTGGTATTATGTCATTTGATCGTTTCAAACATGGACATTTGGGGGGTTTGTATGTTTTGAGAGGCATCTTCAAACAAAAGACTGGCCTTTGTCTCTGTTTTTATGAATTATAAACGACTTCGTTGGTGGTGAGCAGCTGGAGGAGCCGAGCTCTGTGGAAGATTCCGGATCTCCCCAGTGTGATTCTCCCCAGGCCCACTGTCATACTGACTGTCCCTCTGTGGTTGCGCTCAACGCCAGAGCTCTTATGTGCCTACTTTCTGCTCACACTGTGGCTCTGGGTCAAGTCATCAGGAGGGCCTCTGAGTGGAAGCATATTCTTTGTCTGCACTGCATTCTTGGATAACTGTGCTGTCAAAGCAGAAAGGAAAAGCACCCCTGCCTTTGTTTTTCTGAAGAATAATACAAATGATATGCTAGATGATGCATTATGTTATGGATCTTCATATATTGATACAGTATATTTGATAGTGTTTAATCCTCCAAGCATCCCTTTGAAATATGATTCCCATTTTAGAAAATGACATTGAGGCTCAGAGGTGACAAGTGACTTGTCTGAGTTCATTTAGCTGTAAATGGCACTATAAGGCCTTCAACTTGGGATTTTTGCCTTCTTCCTCTATGTCACAGCTGCCTCAACCTGTTATTCATTTATATGAAGCTGTATTTACTTTGGTCATGATTCTTGATAGTAAATGTACATTCTTCGTTTTTTGCTCAATGTTCTTATTTTATGGTTAGCAAAACAAACAAACAAAAAACCCCTAAATCCTGTCTGGCTGGAACTGCAGCCTTTAATCTTTCTAAAGGCAATAGGCAGGACTGAGGCCCTCATAATAAGGTGCTAGCCAACCAGGAAGGAAGCTGGGGAAGGAAGTCCTCCTCCCAGGAGGTAATTGATTCCTAACACTCTAGGTAGCACTGAGTCTGGAGGCTCCATGAAAAGGTGTCTGCTCTTTCCCCCTGTTTCCAGAGGGAAGTGCACAAAGCCTTTATTCTCCCCACTCCCTTAGAATTAGCCAGTCAGGGCCTATGTGTCCATGGGGCCAGATCTGAGCATTTTGTAAATGAACTGAAGGCAGAAGGATAGCTCAGAAGAAAAACAAATGGTAAGATTATTGTTATTTATGTGCCCCTAAATTTAATAATCTTAAAAATCTAAGAACAACACAAAATAATCCTAAAGGAGGGCAATAATTTTGAAACATGAAGTTTAGAAAACCGCATTTATCAGTCTTAGGGGCCAGGGGAAAGAAGGTGTAAGAGGTAAGAAGTCTGGGATAACCGAGGTGCTGCTTCTGAGCTCATGCCCTTGGGCAAGACCTGAACACCTAGGTCTAGCGAGGGTGTGGAACTACATGGCCACTCAAGTGGTGGGGTCTTATTGGCGAGAGAAGGCTATTAACCAGAATCTTCATCAGACCTTCCTCACCATTGCAGTAAAATAACTGACGCTAAAAATTAGACCCCCACTAGAGAAGCAGGGAAATGAAGTCCAAATTAAAAGGAAAAGGCGTGGGATCTAAGTTTAGGGTTAGGTATTTCATTGAACTTCCAAGGCAAGCACAGCACCTGACATACAGAAGGTATTGAATAAATGAATGGATGACAGGTGGATGGACCAATGGAAGGTCAGTCCTTCCCCAGTGGTGATGGACCTGGGGGCAAAGAAGCATGTGGTTGAGTCCTGATCCACACCAACACAGTGATGGAGGCAAAATTATAAGCATCAATTTCTTCCTGTGTAAAATGGAGATGATACTTCACAGGGTAATGATGAAGTGAGAAAATGCTTTCAGGGCCCAGCACATAAGAAGCACAGAATTTTGTGATCATATCCTCTACTCTAAAGACTCCTCTGAGGAACAAGGAGTCTCCAGAGGCAAGAAGTGTGCAGGTAGGAAATCCGTTAGCCTTCCAGATTTCTGCTGGACTCTGCACCTTGTCTCTGAGAGTGGGACCTCTTTCTCCTGGGATCCATGATGAGATCAAGGTCTCCTAGATGAAGCCCAGAAGTCAGGTGGGCTCTACGAGCCCAATTTCAGCCTCCTTTGCACAGAAACCCAGCAGAGTCTTGGCCTGTACAGCTGGGAGAAATGGACCCAGGCTTGAGAACTGCAGGTGGGGATGCTATCACTGTCTAGTGGGAGGATAGGGAAGCGGTGGCTGAGGTGAGAGTCGGTGGACCTTTCAGTGAAGTCCGTTTGTTGACCTGGAAAGGCTTAGCTCTTTTAGAATCCCCAGGCCAGACCTGGCGACCCATTTGTGCGCATTTAAGGCATTTGAACATGGAGACTTGTTGAATGTAGCTGACTTTCATACAGTCTGGAAAACAAGAGGTCTTTCTAGCAACCCATGGGGATGCTCCTTCTAAAGGAACGGTTTCTGGTTTAGGAAGGAGAAATTTCTTTTTTCTTTTCTTTTCTTTTTTTAGATTTATTTATTTATTTTAGAGAGACAGAGTTTAGAAAGTGAGGGGGGAGGGGCAGAGAGAGAGCCTTAAGCAGACCCCACACCGAGCGCGGAGCCCCACACCGGGCTGCATCTCAGGACCATGAGATTCCAACCCCAGCAGAAACCAGGAGTCCCACGCTTAAACCGATTGCTCCACCTAGGCACCCCCAAGGAGAAATTTCTAATGTTAGATTTTTCTTGGGCCTTTCCTTCTAACAGCATTGTCCCTTCCCAGTTTAGCTAAAACTGATGCAGACTATTAGTGGGAGTGTGACTATTAGCATATAAGCATATTTATGAAGTGTACCTCTAGGGAGCAATCAAAAACTGACCGCTCAGCCACAAAAATATATAAGGTCTGAGAACGTCGAGAGTTGCCTTTTGTAAGGTAGGGTTACCATGGGGAGGGCAAATCAGTTGAGCCTACAAGAGCTCATTCGAGGACGCTGCATTTTTTCAGTTGAGAAGCAGCCTAATCTTCCCTAATTACTCCCCGCTTAAGAGGTCTCAGACGACTTCAAAAACACGACAAACGGAAATGTTCTACAGCCTCCTTTGGGTTATCCAAGGCCGAGTTTCCTCAGGCGGGGCATGGGAAATGCAAATCAGCTTGGCACTGCCTATCTTTCACAAAACCCTGTGTGGGGATGAGGCTATTGAAGGTTAGAGGTGATTTCTTACTTAATATTTTTTGCTCTGAAAGAGTTCTCTTTTGGAGCCGGAAGGCAGTCCTCCATACTTTTGTCTCCGCAAATTCCCCAGGTGGAGACAGTCGTAGGCGTTAATAAGCCGCATTAGTGACCACCAGAGACGGAAATCACTAATTACTAAGTCTCCTTTGATCTCCCCCCAGCCGTTTGGCTCCTGACACTGGAGATTCCGGCATCTATGCTTTCTTAGAACTGTACCAGCCTAGTGTGTCCAGAGCCTTAGAGTCAGACGTGGGATCTGCAGTTTCACGTGTGCGCGGAGATCTGGATCAGATTTTTAAAAATTTCCACAGACTCCCCAGATTTTAAATCCAGCGGCTGAGCTGGTGTGTGGCTGGAAGCTAACAGACGCCCACGTGCGGAGGTGTTTGATTAATTTCAGCAACTCTGTAGCTCTGCGCTTTAAATTTGGGGGGCAGACTGGGGAAATAACGATTTAAAATTTCCAGTGCACTGCCTCTCTCCCCTTCGCCATCGTCCTCTTTCGATTCGGTTGTGGGAAATGGAGTTTACTTCTCTTTGCTGGGACTCTAATGTGATTCGGGATCATTTGTGAGATGAACAAAAGTCACGGGCAAACGGGACGACTGGGGCAGAACGCTGATGGCAGACTCGGGGTAGGAGCAAAGGCCGGCTCCGAGGATAATTGGGAGCCAGCCTCCTCCTCGCCTGGTCTCCATGGTCCCCTTCTTCTTCCAGGTAAGATGAATGGCCCTTCATTCATCATCCACAGGCAGCCTCCTCCCCCAGGCGAGCGGAGAATCTGCTTCCCGAAGAAACCTATTAGCCCCGAATTGGGCAGCTTTGTGGAGCCAACCGCGGCTCTCTATTGTGGCCTTTGTCTGCGGAATTTAAGCATTTACATAATGCATTAGCAGCGAACTCCGCGCAGGGTCGGGACACCGCGTGCCGAGCCTGGCGCGGACCGCGCGTCTGCAGCTCCCTCACCCGGCTGCTCCCGGGGACCACCCTCGCCGTTGCGCCTGGGTCACGCTGCGGGCGCTCTGCTCTGGCAAGGAACGCAGTGCCACATCCGTTCTTGGCCAAGCCCGGGCGGCTGCGCTTTGAAAGCGGCAACGTTTTGGGGGGTGAACCGCGCAGGGTCCATCTGACCCTGAAGCCTAAGGAATAAACTTGACATTAATCTGGCTTTCCAGGCGGTCGTTGGGGGCTTCGCCGTTTTTCAGCTGACCGTTGAGAGCCGCGCGCTCAACGGTCACTGGTACGTCCGAGCGCAGAGGCGCCTTGGGTTCCAATCGCCAGAGCGCGGGACCTGGACGCGCGGGTCTCCAGGCGACCCGCGCGCCAGCTGAGAGCAAAGAGGATTCGGGGCATGTAAAAGGGAGGACGATCCGCGGCGCGTGGGACTACGTCTCTAGGGAATTTAGGAAGGAATCCGCAGGCTTTGGAGGTGCGCACGCTTCGCGGAGTAAATGCAAACACTTTAGTAAGCCGAGGTCTCTGGGTATCCAACCCTTTAGAGGGAGGTGGTTTGGCTCAGAAATCTCGCCGGAGGGGACTTTTCCACTGAAAACTTTGTCCAGAATGCGCCCCAGTCCAGACAGGTGCAGGAACTTTTTGCGCGGCCGCGCCTCGGCCACTGCTCTAAACGGCCGCTTAGAGGCCGCAAGAGCTCAGGTCGCGAGTGCCAAGGGGAACCTGCACCTGGAAGCGGGTCTCGAGGAAGACCACCGTACCCGGGGGGCCCGTCAGCCCCCTTCCAAAGAACCCGCGGACCCGCGCGCCCCTCGCGGCGAGCGGCGCTGGTAACCGGCGCCCAATCAGCGCTCTCGCCGGGTCTGTGACGGCGTTCGGCCCCGCCCCCTTGACTGGGCTAAAAGGCGTCCGAGAAGACTTCAGCCCCGAGCTCCGCGCGCGGCCCTGCGCCCCGACACGGACTCCAGGTGGGTTTCGTAGCTTGTTGCTCTCAGCGCCGGTGCCACTGTCCCCGCGGTCTGCCTCGGTCAGGTCCTCATTCTCCTCAGTCCCCAGGGCGGGGCGGCCAAGCTAATATCCAGGCTTCTCTCCTTTCCGGGGCCACCGGCCTGCAGGTGAGGAGCAGCGCAGCGCCCCAGTCCGGCGACCTCACCTAGCCCGGCCAGTGCCCGAGCAGCGGCGGTCCCCCCAACGCTCCCTTTCCCCTGCAGGATGAAGAACCCTATGCTGGAGGCGCTGTCCCAATTGCTGGAGAAGCTGCTCCTCATCTCCAACTTCAAGCTCTTCAGTTCGGGCACCCCGGGCGAAGACAAGGCGAGGAATAGTTACAATGAGATCAGCTCCTTCCTTCGCGGCGACGTGCTGGAAGTGCCCCGGACCCACCTGACCCACTACGGCATCTACCTGGGCGACAACCGTGTCGCCCACATGATGCCCGACATCCTGTTGGCCCTGACCAAAGACAAGGGGCGCACGCAGAAGGTGGTCTCCAACAAGCGTCTCATCCTGGGCGTCATTGGCAGGGTAGCCAGCATCCGTGTGGACACGGTGGAGGACTTCGCCTACGGAGCCGACATCCTGGTCAATCACCTGGACAAGTCCCTCAAGAAGAAGGCGCTGCTCAACGAAGAGGTGGCGCAGAGGGCGGAGAAGCTGCTGGGCATAACTCCCTACAGCCTACTGTGGAACAACTGTGAGCACTTTGTGACCTACTGCAGATTCGGCACCTCGATCAGCCCCCAGGCCGACAAGGTACACGTGTGACTCGCCGGTGGGTTCGGTGGGGACGCCCTTTCCCATCCCTAACCTTTTTCTATACTCTGGGATCAGGGATTGAGTTCTAGAATGAGTAACGATCTCTCTGGTGTTCCTAAAGGAGGCCAAGTAAATAAATAGCGTTGTCCCTTGCAAGGTAACCTCAAAATGCGGGATTAAAGAGTATGACAATGCAGTACCGCTGTCAGCGATTCCAAATCTACCCAGTTATTGCTGCAGAGGTCGTCAGGGTGTCCACCCAGCGTCATCGAAATGACAAAAGGACAGGTGGGGGTTGCGGGGGTCAAGAGAAAATCTGTCGCTGTGTGCTTGCAAATTTCCCCAAGAATTGCAATTGGAAGAAAGGCGTTCAGAGTTTGTATTTTATCTATAACCCTGTGTACAAATTGTTGTGCCTTTAAAATTAAGGAAGCCTGCAGGTTTCTCCGTCTGTAAGCTGCAGAGTGAATTCCCTTTGCTTAATATAAACTATCAAAATTCCCAGTAGGAAGACCTCCCTGGTAGATTCCTTACTCCGGTGTCTGGCTTCAGAGAAGTCATTTCCTTGGTATTCTGAATTCTTTCTTTGAAGGCTTTAATCCCCATCTAGACTTCCTCATTGTTAGGCATCTTTTAACCCTTAGCTCCAAAGGTGGGATTGTTTATGGGTCCCTCAGAGATAAAAACAATTGGTTTTCAAGAAGGTCCGTTCAATGTTGTAATTTTTATGAGCACTCAAAAAAAACCAAACAAACAGTATTAGCATTGAAGATGATTAAATTAGCCACAAATCCAAAGGGGTGGGGGGGGGTAGGGTGGATTTTTTATTTCCTTTTGAAACCTCTTAACTTAAAGATAATTAACTTTTTAAGCCTGCAACTGCATTTGCAATTAGTAGCTTTCTCAGGCTTCACTGTAGTTGTTAAAGAGGTTATTGTTAATGTTCACTCTTAACTGAAACCTGGGCCATCACCTAATGAGCTTCACATTTTAGGCTTCATGTTTAGATACTTTCTGGACGAAAAGAATGAGTCCATGCAACCGATTTTGTATTGCTCCACATCTTGATTAATTTTTTGACCCATATGGGAAAATCTTTTTCTCCTCTGTGGCAGAACATACAAGTACTATGCTTTTTATACATCAGTATATGAAACTTCTTATAGATTATTTATAGAGCCACAACAGACTCAATCTAGTAAAATAAAACTATAGTTTGAGCAGTGTGCAATGATTTAAGAATCACAGCCCCAGTCCAGGCCTGATTAGAAATGAACTTCACTACATTTACAAACACTGGCTCCAAAAGTGTACAAAAGGAAGCAGGTCAGATTTACTTAGGAACCAAGCAAATTATTTCTCTAAGGAAAAACTGTACTTCTAACCAGTAATTAGCAGTTACCCTTTCATGGAACACATAGAGCACTGTATTCTGTATTTTGACCAAAAACAAACAAACAAACAAACAAACAAAAAACACATCACAAGTGCTTTTTTTGAGGTAGTAAAATATTTAATCTGCATAAATAACTAGCTGGAGTAGTTTTTCATCTTTGGAAACTTTGTAAGGTTTTACAGAAGTAGAGAAATGTTTTAATTGCTGTTGCTGCATAGCACCTCTTGTGAAACTGAGTTTTTGTCTTCACTTTGAATGGTGTAACAAACAATTTGGCCAGAGTAGATTTCCCGGGGAAAAAAAAAAAAATCCCCATCCCCAAATTTCCAATTCTAAGAACTGTTTTTTTGAACATGCCTTGAGAGAAGTAGGTCATTAATACTGAAGGAGGACTGATTTCTAGTTTTCAGAGATGTAAGGAATTACTTGATTCAGGGTCCGATTGTTGAGTTCTCCATCTATGTATACTATTGTAAGCCTAACACTGAGAGCTGCAAGTTGTCTCTTACTTAAATTTAAATTTAAGTTTATAAATACTTTGAAGAGCACTTTCCCTCATGAAAGCACAGCAACTAATTTGAAAATAAATTGGAAGAAAACATTTTGCTTTTTTGTGATGTGAAGCTCTTTTTAACAAGTTTAGAAATCTTAAAATTAAGGGAGTTTTATATTACTATTAACAATTTCAGAGTTCTGTAAACTATAAAGCCCTTAATTACTCTTATTATGCCTTATGCTTTTTCAACTCTTTTTTTTAATGTTGCTGGTACTGATTTTATTGCCAAAAAATGAATGCAAATACCCCTTTTAATTTCTGGGGTTTCCGTACTCAAAAAGTGCCCCAACAGGCTACCTTCTAGCAATGCAGGACATTCCCTCCCGTTGAGCACCACTAGAGATGCCTCCTTGGGCTAATGGCCAAGTGAACAAGAACAGGACATTAGAAATAAGATGCTCCTTGAGAAAATCTGCTTTTGGGGAAAGGAGTCCACCATGCTTCTCCATTTTCCTTAATTAACAATTATTGGGAAAAAGACAAAAAGAGCGTAACTGTACGAAGACAGCTTACTCATTTACCTAAACGCATATCTTCCCATTATTTGCCAAGCACCTTTTCTCATTGTCCTGAAAACTTCATTTAGTTTGATCTTCACCACTTTAAGATTGTGTATTTGGGACTCAATGTTTTTGTTTCGCAGAAAGAGACAAATCATCTGTTTGACATGTAAGAAAACAACATCTGGATAACTAACAGGAACAGGAATTTGTCTAGAAATTGTATAAAAGTATGGAGAGAGACAACCTTACAGTCAAGATAGTGCATTAAAATATATTGGGCTTGTATACTCTGCCCATTAAGAATTTAGAAACCTAGCTGTCCAGGACCGTATAGGCCACTGTAGGAGACCCTCAAAGCATATACAATGTCATGTCTAGAAAAGGAGCTTAAAACTAGTATGAGTAGCACAAGTCACATACAAAAATAGAGCAGTTCATTGCTAAATTTTGCCCAGACAGTGATGAGGTAGAGCTAATTGTCAACAGATGTAGCAGTAATAATAATCATTGTAATGCCTTACATTTATGCAGCATGTGGAAGAATACTTTTGCATTAAAGATCTCACTTGATCCTCACAACAACCTTCTTATTCCCATGGAAGAGAAGAGGGTAGTCTGGACAAGTTAAATGATTTACATGAGATTTACTGGAGCTAATAAGAGGTGAGCCAGGACTCAAATATAAGCCATCACTTCTGAGTAAATTTGGTTTTTAAAGAAGAACAATTTCACATATTAGAAGAATGCCTTCCTCAGGAGTAGGGATCATATTTAATTTACCTTTATCTCCAGCAGCCAATTTTATGTCACATAATTGACTGAATTTAATCTACTCAGAGAATGGGATATGACCAAAAAATGAGACTTTCTGTGCCTTTAGATTTTGAGACCTATGAGGACAGTTTTCATTGGTATCATCAAATATTCAAATGACGAGTTGTAGGAACTGAATTCACCAATGATAATAGGCTAAATTTTATCACTCAAGATTAGAGATTCCTTTGCTTATGAAATTGTAGAATATGTTATTGTTATTGACAGGCAGTTTAAAGTTTTAACCTTTAATCCTGAATAACTTTTATGTGGTTACATTCTCTGTAGTTTTCTATAAAAAGTCTGTATTTACAAAGGCAGCTGCCTTTGTGAACCTAGTTGCCTGAAGCATCATTTCAGTTACTATGGGATGTGGAATCAAGAAACTGAACTATTCATACCTTAAATTCTTTCTGAAGTCATAAGAGAAATTCTGGTTTTTCTGTTAGACAGAAAATAGGTGAGAAAATTATGCTTTACTATTTGGTACATGTGATTCTTCTTAGGTTCAGCCCCCTTTTCTAATATTCTTAAATTTTATTTTCCAGTTCTGTGAGAATGTGAAGATAATTATTCGTGATCAGAGAAGTGTTCTCGCTTCAGCGGTCTTGGGATTGGCATCTATAGTCTGTCTGGGCTTGGCATCCTATACTACCCTTCCTGCAATTTTTATCCCATTCTTCTTATGGATGGCTGGCTAACTTCATATCCCCATGTCAGTGTTGTATTTTGTGTATAAATATGTTTATATTTATAGAGCACAAGTCAGTATAAGCATCGTCGACAAAAATGTGACCGGTAACACTGTGTTCTGGATAAAAATGTGACTAAGAATCACGCAAAGTGCTTACTGTGTAAGCCCAAGAACAAAGGCTTTCTGAATCTTCTCAGGCAGTTCCATTTTAAAGCCCTGTGCAGATCTTGGAAACGTGACAACTTGTGATAGAATTCATCATTACAAGAGAACCGGCCCCTAAGATGATGGCCACAGGAGAGTATTTATTTATTTTTTTTCTCCTGTAATCATTGTTCTTCTCTCTTAGGCCTGAATTTGAAGATTAGAAGACCTATTGAATGAGACCACTAACTTCATTGTAAATTTATTGTTTCATTGAAAAACTTATATTAAACTAAGAGAATTTCCCTCGTTCAGATGAGAACATGTTTGATGATTGGCAAAAAAAATTCATGATCTGTTTTTTTTCCCCATGTATTACGTATAATTCCCAATAAGTCAAAAATACTTTCATTACTTGAAACCATGTTGGCGAAGTTAGAGTTTAATGATAAAGTAACTGACCAGAACTATAGAAATCTGTGTTTTCCTGCAGAAATAAGCTACTATAGCATCAGTTGAACAATCTGATTTGGCTTTACTTACTCGGAAGCCTGGCATTCATTTTTTCTTTTTTTCCTTTTATGTGTCACTGTGGTGACATTAAACCACTCTGAGAGGTAAATGGATATAGGATTGAAGTAATTTGTATACTTGGAGTGTGTATGTGCCAATTAAATATGCAAATATCTGCATATACACAGACTGGTGAGAGACAAACGTTGTTCTTGATTGCTTTATAATACCAGTGTGGTTACTAGAGAGCATTTGTAGAAGTGAATGTAAAAACAAGTTTAATCTGTTTTCTTATGACCTTGCATCCATGGTATAACTTTCATATATGTCATTGGATGGTTTACTTTTTAAAGCACTTACTAATGTACTGTATAATTTTTAAAAGTCCTCAGATTTGTCTTCTAACAGATTTCTTCATTTCATTGCAAAGTATAGTTTCCATCCTTAAAAGAAGGATGCCACAAGGAAATAACTGTCTGAAGTAGTTCCTGAGTGTCTTAGTGCCACCAGGCATGTAAATTGATTACACTGAGGCTGTTTTAATATCAGGGTTGAGATGTAGCACTGTTAAAGCAAGCTTCAAATACTTTTGTAGACTTACCAAATTATAAAAACTAGGCCATAAGCTAGACTTGCATTTCAAGTACTAAAATTGCTTTATAAACTATCAGGAGTCACAAGATAATGAGTCACATAATGAGTGATATGGGGAGAGTAGAGTCGGTTACTCAGTGATCTAACCAGAACAAATTTAAGAGCAGATTTTAGTGTAGCTGATGTTTTACTGCCACTAATTTACAACAAATTCAGTTGGAGTTTAATAATAATTGAACTTTGTGTTTAGTCATTTAAAATGTTTTTAAATAGTCAAAACACAAAATGGCACCACCACAGAATAAAGGTTCTCTGGGCCTATTCCAACCACTTAAAATTATCTTAAGTATGTATACATGAAAACAATTCTATTGTATTAGTGGTTTTTTACTTACTGTGTATTACCTTTGTAGCATCTGTTTAAATAAATCGATTTTTTTAAACATATGGTGTCCTCCTAAATAAATACGTTTTTTGCAGACTTCAGTATTTCAGGTAGCAAAAACCACTGCCTGATGTTAAATCTGTGTTCACAATAATAATCCCTTATTAAATGCTAAGGGAAATATTAAGGTTAGAATTAACATAATTAGTCTTACTTCATATCCTTAAAATAAGATCCAATTCCTCATTCATTTGGGTGTTCATTATATGCCAGGCACTGACCTGTTGTAATTTCATGGTCTAGAATTAATATTATTATTTTTAAACTACCTATATTAGAGTGTATGCAGTGCTACAGGAATACGGAGGAAGAAGCAATTAAATCTTCCCGAAGGTCAGAGAAATCTGAAGTAGGCAATCTGGCATTAGGTTGAGAAGTAGTAGGAGGTGATTTCATCACACCGATGTTCTACTATTTACAGGAAGAGGAAACTGGAAGGAAGGTTTTATTTATCCAATATTCCACAACACTAGGATTTGTTGAACTTAGGACAAAGGAAAGTTTTGTTTTGTTGTGCCCAGTTTGATTAGTTGCTTAACAAGGTAGAAGAAGCACAGATCCCTGATTGTGGTTGTGGAAGAAACTGAGCCATTCCTGTGTCTCTGATGAATGCCTCTGGGCTTCATTAGTTAAGATTCATCCTTAGGATTCTGCACGTTCCTTACAGTTCCAAATTTCCCTTCTAATTTGTGAAATGATTACTGTCTAAGGCAGCTTTTTGTTGCTTCTTTTGTTGTCATATGTAGATGAAGGCCAAAGAACTAGCTGGGGCTGAGATGAAATAATGTGTCAAGTACCATGCAGGTAATAGGAATGAAAAGAAGAAGGAGACATGGACCTCACAGTTTATGGCCGCACTGATGTAGAGGCATTAAGACCATGCAACAGAGCTGGTGTAAAGCACAGAAGATGACCTGGTTAGTTTTAACCGATAAGGCCAAAATTATAGCGACTGCGTACTGAGACTTGGAAACCTGGGATGTTTTCCAGGGGTACAGATTTTGAGTAGGACGTTCTACACATTGGGAACAGTATGAGCGAATGCAGGAAAACTACCCACACCATGCCTAGCACACAAGTGGGAGGCACTCGACTGTTCGATGACTGAAGCATGGAACTGCATGGGGCATTCAGGCAGAGGCAAGTGGTTCAGAGGCTAGAGTGGAGCAAGGTTGTTAAGGAGAGGTTGGAAAAAGAGAAAATGATCAGGTGGGCACAAGTTTTGTGCAGACCAAGAAGTTTAGACTTTATGAACAGGCAGTGGAGGTTTGAGTTCAGCAAGGTAACTCCCAAAAGTATAGAGGAAGGATAGGGCATGGGGCAAGACAGGACAAGGGGCTCTCTTAGGAGACTAGTTATGGTCCTTAATCTCTCAAATCAGGGCCTGTAATTGTGAGGGTGGGGAGCAAACATGTCAAGGAAATCTCAGCAGACTAGCCAAATCCTTCTATTTGACTCATGAGTAACTGTTGGTAGGGTGTCAGGGAGGAGTCATGCATCCCTTCCTGCCAAAAAGTTAGTTACTGAAATATAACTTCATGTGGTGACTGTATGTATATTGGATATTCCAGATCGTTGTTCTGCTAGTTCTGTTGTCTTTGCAAGGACAAGCAAAGAATTACAGATTTGTTGTTTAAAAATTTTTTTTCAGAATAGAGATGTATTTCCTATTTTTCCATTTCTGTTTTATACTATTACTGTCAAATATTAAAAAAAAAAAAAAAAAGTTTTCCAGTGATATCACAGTTACGTCAATGGCAAAGTCTTGTTGTGATAGATGAAAAGCATATAAGAAATGCTGATTGCCAATATTGTGTTTTATATAATCTGTTTAGAGATTTTTATCTAACCGAGATCTGTTAGCTCAACTAGATTTATATTTGGTATATATGTGCATGAAATAAAATCGATTTTATATACTACCCTCTCTTCTCTTTGAATTTGATATACATAAATATTTTTCTGAACATGGTAGCCTGAAGAATTTTGTCTTTCAAGGCTTCCTTTACTGAACATAGCTAGCTTTACATATTTGAAATTAAAACTATGCGGATCTGCCTTCACATTGATATGATCTATGTTATCTACATCTGGAAGCTGACCTCGATTATGTAGAAAAAGGTTCTGCATGATAGGAAATAACAATTCTCCTCTCCATTCCACAAAGCCAAGCAGCAACAACGCATAGAGCCCTGCGCATGAACTCAATCACCAGATATTTAACACTACCAGTGTGGCCTGCCATTTTACTCTGGCTACGGGTCGAGCAGGGATGCAATGTGAGTAGCAGCAAATCCCAGGGTCAGTCTTGAGATACATTTACAACATTGCAAAGAACCACAGAGGTTACTGAGCTAAACCCTTAAACATCTAACCACGTGTCGGACATGGAAAATCAGGCACAGAGGTTGAGATACTTCGCGATTACACAAATAACCAGAGGCAGAGCCACAATCTGACTCCAGTTTTCTTTCCTCTATATGACCTTGGCTTCCTGAGGCCTCCCGTAAATAAGGCAAGCTTTCATCCAGTGAATGTATTAGTTTCTTGCAGACCTTTTGTGTGCTCCAGGCAGGGCCACAAAAGAATGAACTAGTTGGAATCTTAGTCCTATAGTTGCTCAGTCTCATGAGAAAGAATGGCAAGCAAATAGGTTTCAAAACAATGATAAGCTTGTACAAGTGTCAGAAGGGCAGAGACAAAACCTATACCTGTCCGTTGGGGGCCAGTGGAGGAGAGAGATGTGAAACAAGTTTTCAATGATACCTTAACTGAGTTGTAAAGAGTACAAACGTTTGAAGTGAAAGAGACCTTTCTCCAGGCCAGTACAGGCACCTGGAGAAGCACATACAAAGGACAGAGCCAGGAGAACCCAACGCATGGTTGGATTGCTACCAATCCCTGAGAACAAGTACCTGTGTTTATATTGTTGCTTTGAGAGAAAAGTAGCCCTACGGTTCCACCGTTCCTTTGAGGAAGGCAACACTAGACTCAGGTGATGTTAGAGACAAGAGGCAAGATCATGGAGAACTTGACACTGAGACTCTGAAGTGGAAAGAAGGCATTTCCTAAACTTTCCGAGTACCTCAGGTGAGCCTTATGAGCATGCAGTTTTGTCAAACACATGCTGAATAGGGGTGGGATTGCGTTGTTAGGAAGAGAAATGTAAGGCTTATGGACGGGGGTTTATTTAAGGGTACATGGAGAAGTGGGAATATAGGAATCAAAGGATGAAAGGTCACATCTCCCCAATCAGCTCACAACTGCTCCCACGTTCCAACAACAACCCTGGTGCCACCCTCCTCTTGATTCTAGATTTTGTCCCAGATACATCATTCCGCTGAGCTTATGGCTGCTACTCCTATTGCTGCCCACCTACTGCTCCCAACCTTCGGTGTATTGACGCTTCTGCTGCCTCATGGTTTTCCTTACACCTTGATTTTGTGTTTCTTCTACTTCTCCACTCTGCTGGGCCTCTGTCTCTCTCGTTTAAAATTTCCAAACGATCTAATTAAGCTGACCAGTCATTATGCAATATTGGTGGTCATGAACAAAGTTCTCTGCTGGGCTACCTCATGGCCATTGAGGCCCATATCCTTTAGGTCTGTTCCTTTCAGATCAGATGACATCCTTGGGCCAATCAGTTGTTGCCAAGTTGCACAATGACATGCTCCAAGGGATGGTGATCTATTCTAACGGGGCTACTTGTGACTGATTTTCCTTTGAGGATAGCTATCAGTTTTAGTTTAAAGAAGAGAGTAACATCTCATTATCATCACAGTTCGTTCTGCAAGTATGTAGAGAGTGGATTAGATGAGGAGATGTAACTTAAAGGACATAAATTCTATCACCAAAATGTAGGAGAGAAATGATGAAGACCAGCAGTAATTCAATGGCAATGAGGATGCAGAAGACAGAATGGATTGATTTGAGGGGTGAGAAGGAGGGGGTTTCAGACAGGTCCAATGAAGAAAACAGAAACCATTCTAAGTCTCGTCGGGCGGGATGTATATGTACATGCGTGTAATACCCTGGTTTCCCCTTCTCACCGTCCAATCTCCCACAAAGGCCTCACATTGGCCAACCAAGCCAGAAGCCAGCTGGCAGAAGAGCCTGCCAAGAAAGGCAAGAAATGCGTCTGAGGCATAACAGCCTGCGATTGGGCACTGGGATAAGTGTAACTGGTTGTATGTGACATACTGGCTAATTTGGGGGAGTCGGCCTTGGGAGAAGTAGGACAAGCCTGGTCTGGATATATAAGTTTGAGAAGTCTCTGGTCTCATAGGTGGAAATACAGAGTAGACAACTGGAGACTGGAGTCTCATGCTCAAGACAGAGCTCAGGGATGGGGATATATTTAGGAGTCATAACAGTGGTGGTTGAAGCCAAGGATATGAATTAGACCATCTGGGGGAGTCTATGCAGAATTTTTCAAAAGTGGAAGGAGGTGAGATTAAGGTCACAAAAATATAAGAGGGAAGAAGAAAGATCAAGAACAGTTCTAGAAGAAGACTGAGGAATAGTGGCACAAATGTTAAGAGTAGAACAAGGAGAAGCTGTGTGAGGAGGCCAGGAAGGAGTGAGTTTTAGAAGCTAAAAATCTGAATAGCATCGCGATATAGAAGAGAGATAGGGACTCTCATCACACAGTGGATTTGACCAATAAGGGGATTGAGTGGCCTTGATGAATAAGTATCCCACTATTGTTAGGTACGGGGGTGTTCAGGAGGTTAAGGGAGAAGGCAAATTATGGGTTGAAATGTAAATGGAAAATGAGTGTGGACTTCCTTTTGTCATAGCTTGGTGGGAAAAGGAAGTAAACAAATAAAGCCCAACGATTCAAAAAACAGCAGAATATCTGACATCTCTGTTTCCCCTTCAGCATTCTTTAGAAGGGAACATACTGTGAACTGCTTTATGCCTCATTTAAGAAGCATAAATCAAGTTAATTTTCATAATTATTTTCTGAGGGACAAACACTCTTTTTGGGATATTAGAACTGCACTTTTCTTTCAGAGCAGATCAGAGATCAAATCAATGAACATTCCCATTTCTATTGTCTTCTTTGAAAAGAACACATGTTCAGATGGAAAGTCTGATAAGGTCGGGGGGGGGTGCGGATGGGAAGGAGTAAAAACAAAAACCATACGGCATAGGACTCTAGAGTCTTGGGCTCTCATTCAAACAACCTGTCGAGGGGAGTCCATTACCATTTCTTCTCTCTCACAGAATGATGGAGAAATTAAGACACAGTGTAAGACTCAGATTCAAATGCTATTGGAATTTTGGGGGGCATCATAACCTCATAGGTACTTCAGATTCTCTACAGATTAAAATAGTCAGGGGCACCTGGGTGGCTCAGTTGTTAAGCGTCTGCCTTCGGCTCAGGTCATGATCCCAAGGTCCTGGGATTGAGCCAAGCATCAGGCTCCCTGCTCAGCGGGAAGCCTGCTTGCTTCTCCCTCTCCCACTTCCCCAGTTTGTGTTCCCTCTCTCGCAGTCTCTCTCTGTCAAATAAGTAAATAAAATCTTTAAAAAAAATAAAAAATAAAAGTCATAAAAACCATAATGGAAGATTAAACCAATCCAAGCTGCTAACATGTTCAACGAATATTATACAAAATAATGGTTTCTTATCCATTAGATCTATATTGATCTCAATGAATGTAGAGTTTTGAGATCATTTTGTCTGCTACTTGGCTGAATCATCTATTCTTTGAAGAAGAATGTGTTAGTATTCCTAAGTAAATCTTCTTGTTTGTACTGAGTAAATCAGTGAGCTGAAACTCCAAAATTTATCAGATAAACCGCTCTTGTCTGCTCAGCCTGGCTCAGCCTGCAGCCGCCCCCTAAGGATCTGCTCAAGCAGAAGAACCAGAGCTGTAAGCTCCATGTTGGTCCAGACACCTGATCTGACCAGGTGCCTCACTGCTGGGTGGAAAACCAAAACGTAGCAATTGCTACATGCTGAAGCATCATCAAGATTTATTTCCTCTTTGAGACTCCCCAACTCAGCTCCACACCCCACAAGTGCACACACATCTCTCTCCACTTCACCTCTGGCAAGTCACAAAGGACTGTCGGAGAAATTAACAGTGGTCAATTCTCTTTGTTTCGTCCTTACATCTAATTTTTCCAGGGAACGGGCTTCAAATGTCAATAACATTATTTGCCACAGTTACCGTAAAAGCTATAAAGGAATTTAAGACATAAGACAGGAAAAACTGAAAATAAGGAGAATGAAGGAAATGGCTTTAGAGCACCACAGCCGTCTGAGGGACTAGCTCCTCAGGAGGTAAGCAGCCACTCCATCCGTGTTTCTCTTTGTGGCTGCTGTGGGGGACTGGCACCCCTCCTTCCGTAGCTTGGATTTCTCCACATTGCTGGCGCTCCTTCCCCTGACCACTCTGAAACCAAGAGCTATGGATATCTTGAGGTTTTGAGAAAATGTACTTTTTGCATTTATTCTTTTTTTTTTTTTT